ATCCTCCCACAGGGTTTAGATTACTTACTACGTTAAGTAAGGATCACTCTTATTTATGTATGTTAAAAAAATAAATAAATGTAATTTACTAATCAATATAATTTCCTACTATAAGCAATTTTGTATACTCATCAACTGTACATAGTAACATGTGGCTGCAATATGCCAAATCAAAATTTATGTAGTTAGTGTAAATAGTTCAGGAAAAGGTGCAGAGTTCAGTGCTAGCTCAGCTCAGATAGCATTTTTTGGAGATGTCTCTCTCTACCTTTTCACCTATCTCATTTCCCAGGAGTTAGGACTAGCTAAATTCTCAGTGAATCCTAAAACAGATCCTGAGAGTTATGTGGGAATTTGTCCTGGCTCTTAACTCCTCCATGAGTGCTGAGGAGCAAACTGTAGCAATAGTAAGATTGTTTTCCATAGAAGCATGTTGGGCTGAGAGATTTAAGAATTGCTGGACCTAACCAGAGCTGACTTTGGGTCAAGCCATTACGTGTTTTCATATCTAGATATTTTGTTTGCTGGAGTGTAGTTCTGACTGCTGTGTTTTGCTGAACTTCTTAGTTTCAGCTCTGCTTTATGTTGTATGAATGCTTTCTTATCACAAAGTTCCTTAACAAGTTCTGATAGGTTTGAGATGATCGTGTGATAAACCTTGATGCTGCCATAGGTACTGCATTATGAAGGGATCCAGATCTGTGGGTTACTAAGTGTAGTTTCCTTCCTAAAGATGGCTTAGGTGATGACAACTGTAACTGGGGGAGGAACACATTTTGCAGATGAATGAAGAATTTGAAAAGTGGGAGGTATAGATCTTCTCATCTTACTTATTAAGAAAGTAATACATTAAATATCAGCAGGTGTTATAGATTTATAGGTTATACTGTATGTTTTCATTCAAATGTGACTGCAAAAGGTATTTTTCTTTCTGAGCAGTAAATAATATATTATCTCTGCATTATGAACTGCAAATATATGCAGTTCATTAGGATTTGTAGTGATGGTAACCTTGCTACTTATAAGGAAATATATAGGACATGATTTTATTGGTTTTAATAATACCTGAACTAAGTATGAAATGAATATAAATATACATGTATGTGTGTGTAAGTATATAAAAATTCAAATGTCTTGATTGACTATGTTCTCTACGTGTGCATACAAAGGAAATAAACACTTCTTAGCTCTGTAGAATTGTTACAAATGCAAAACTAAATTTATTTAACTAGTCATGCTGTGTGACTGCTGGAGAAAGAGGAAGCTAAAGAAGTTGCAATACTAACTTGTGTTGAACACCATCTGATAGGTAATGGAAGAAATGTGTACTATAATTCATATCCAGGTGGTAAAGGTGCCACTAGCAGACTTTCTTGTACTTTTGTTTCTGTATTGTAAATATAAATGGTTTTACAAAATACTAACTTTGGTGGAAAAATTTAATATGAGGAAAATATTTTCCCTCCAGGTAACTATAGGTACATTAAAGGAGGCTGTAGCAAGGTGGAGGTTGGTCTATTCTCCCATGTGCCTGATGACAGAACGAGGGGGGAATAGGCTAAAGTTGCGCCGGGGAGGTGTTTCAGGTTGGATATTAAGAAAAACTTCTTTACCGAAAAGGTTGTTAGGCATTGGAATGGGCTGCCCAGGATAGTGGTTGAGTCACCATCCGTGGAGGTCTTTAAAAGACGTTTAGATGTAGAGCTTAGTGATATGGTTTAGTGGAGGACTTGTTAGTGTTAAGTCAGAGGTTGGACTAGGTGAGCTTGGATGTCTCTTCCAACCTAGACGATTTTGTGATTCTTTAACTGTCCTGCATCATAGATACAAGTTGGTGCTATGCTCAGTGTTATATATGGAGTGGTAATTCGAGTCGAGAAAATGGTTGATATTAATAAAGAAGGGGGAGATTTGGGCATGTAGCCATGGGGGTTGGAAAACGCCGTGACTGAGATAACATTAGACTCTTAACGACGAGGCCATCAGGAATATAAAAGAGTTTAGAGAGAACAAAGAAGGGTGATTCAGGAGACTCCATGCAGTCTCCGGTTTCTTGTTCTCCAGCTGGTTCTCTTGTTCTCCAGCCGTTAAGGCATGTATATTTCTGGGTGTTTGCTCTTGTTGTTACATTCAGAGTTGTTTGACCAACGAAAAGTTGTTTTGAAAAGAACTGCTGTGGAGAGAAGGGTATAAGAGGGGAGCCTGCCCTCAAGATAAAAAAAAAAAAAAAAGGCAGGAAAAAGGAGTGAAGAGGAACAGGCTGGAAGAACGCAGACCAGGACGGGAACAGGCGTTTTGATTGCCTCATGAAGATAGGTTCGTCCAGACTCAGCAAACTGCTCAGAGAAGCTCGTACAGTCGCTGGAAATAGGCGCACTGGAGCTGGAGAGAAGCTAGAGTTGAGAGAAGCGGACCTGTGCACACAAAGGCCTCTCGCTGGTAAGCAGTTGCGCATTATGGGGAATCATACGTCCTTAGGATCAAAGACTGTCCTGGTAACCTTACAGCTTATTCTCCTTATTAATAATCGGACAGTTTATGAGCCTGAAATATAGGACCAAAACTGATGTCAAGGTGTGGGACTCTGCAACTAAAAACGACAAGGTTGCAGTGGGATTGCTCGGCACCTGGCGAGCAATCTCTGAGGCCTTAAAGAGCCATCTGGGCCCACAGTCAGAAACGTGTGGTTTGCCAGACAGTGAGGGAGCTGCGGGCTCCTTTACCGATCTGACTGCCATGCCATGGGCCACTCTGCTGCTACAGCCATCGAAGGCTTTTGCTGTTGCGCCCCCTGCTGACCTGGACGTGCCTTTTGATCCAGGCCCTATTGGCCTTGAAAAGAAGATGGGTATGTTTTTCTTCAAGCTGGGAAGAACGGGATACATAAGGCCTGAAGCAAGAAAAGGAATGGAAAATGGAGATTGTGAAGTTATGGAACTTAAAGGATTGTTTAACTATCCTGATTGTACATATGTATAGGCATACTTGTGTTTAGTGTGTAAAGCAATGTTCTATATGTTTAGAAAGTTTGTTTGTGTGTGTATGTTGGTGGAGCATAGACTCCCCGCACACCCAGCGCTGTTTACTTGCCTTTTATAAATATTCATTTATGTTACTAAATTCAGAGTTGAGACTTCATTTATAACACTCAGGAAAATGAGTTGCTTAGTAAAGTAACTACAAAACACAAATACTTAAGTTGTCATGTGTTTCTTAACTTCTTAACAAGTCTTTCTGTATTTGTCTATATAAACATATTTATGTATGTATGATTTCAGAGGATGACATAATACACCTTGAAAACTTTTTTTTTTTTTTTTTAATAATCGAAAAAGTATTCTATTGTGGTTGTTTCTAAAGTTTTTGTAAAATCTTGACTTGTGGTTACTTTGCTCAGTACTTTCTCAAAGGAAATAATCTTTGAAGAACCTGTTAGCCAGCTTTTAGTAAGTTGTAATAATGTGTTATAAGTGTTGTTGACCAATAATTATGTAACCAATTGGAAGTAAACTTCTCCATAAAAGACAAATAAAAGTTTACTAAGGCTAATCTGCATCTGGAATCTGAATTTACATGATGGTTTTTGAATTATTTACGCTGAAAGGTAGCATCTTCTGGGCTGTGATTTTTGCTTTTCCTAACAGTTTGTAAGTTGTGTTATCAACTGGATTTTGACACATCTAGACTTTTGGGTAGGTTAAGAAGTCTGTCTGATATCATTGACCTTATGTAAGAGAGAAAGTGTCTATTTATATTTTCTGAAAAGTTGTCTGTCTTAAACTGTTGTAGCTGTTTAGTACCTTTATAGCAGCATAGAGAGAGTGCCAAAACTCTACTCCTGTGACAATTTTGTTAATTATGCTAGCTAAACAGATCTATCAAATTCCCAGGGAAAAATAAATAAATAAATATTCCACCAGCAGAATGCATATATTTTATTTACTGATTTATAATTTGATGTTGCATTTTCACTGTGTTCTTAAATCAAATGGAAGGGTGTCAGTATATCTGAAATTTCTTTATTTCCTGTAGCTCCTCGATGTTTGCTATTGTATAGCACCCAAACACTAAGAAAACCAAGCTTCTGAGTACTTAGCTTTTAAATGGCTGTAATTTTCTTTTGCTAACTAGCAGAATAACCTTATCTACAGCTTTATCACAGTTAGTTTCAATCCAATTAATCTTCATCAATATTGCCACCCTTCTCATCATTCTCTGGAAAACTTAAAAGGAAAATAGCTTAATTAGGAATAGCAATGGCATTTCACTTTCAGAAAGATGGAATGTTCAACACGCTGTGTTGAAACAACATTCTCTGATTAGAATAATTTATGTGGCAAACACTAAATAAATATGCATTTGAGGAAAGGGCTTTGTGTAACCAGTGTACATAGAGCTATGTTCTCTTGTGCTCATGAATTAGAAAATTGTAATTAGTAACAACTAATATTCTTATACTCTTATGTAAGAAAGTCAATATCTTTTGATACAAGATGTACAGGTGACACAAATTTTATTATAGAATGGGATTTGATAACATGCCTATCCTGTCATGGTTGCCTTTTTCTGCTTCATGTTGATTGTGTTCACAATTATATCAAAGACTTTTCTTTGGCTTTTGTGGAAGACTAAACATTTCATGATGTTCTTGACTCTTCACCCTGCATGATTATGAATACTGTCCCCATACTACACTCAAACTCAGAGATGAAAAGGCAACATTTTTCATTTGTAATGTTCAAGGTACGCATACATCCTTTCAAATAGGGAACATGTTATACTTGATTACATTAGCAAAGAAGATGTGCAAAGGCAGAATGTTTCATCAGAAATGGCATTATGGAGAGAGATAAGATCACTTTTAAGATGTATAATATTTGATAATTACAAGAATTTATGGAGTGTGACATAATATTTTTATGAAATTTAGAATTTAGATTTAAATTGCTGACTGCCCTAAAACATCAGGGGTTTACTATAAAATCTGTTTCCTTTTACAGATTTGTCTGAATGGTTCTCAGAGAATTCTTACCAGAAAATGACTCTGTCAAGTTCCTGGTAATCTGTTTTGTTGAACTATGGAATCCTTTTACCAAAATGAAGAGAGATGACAACTAGTCTTGTCCGGTATTCTCCAAGCTCCCAGAAAGTACTATCAGGATTATTCAGGTGTGCATAAAATTACTTTGTTAATGCAAATCAGATCTGAGAAAGGTATGCTGTAAGTTCTTTATATGGAAGTTACTTACTATTTCATCTGCTACTTGGAATTAAGTCTGTTTGTGGAGCATTATGTCAAGCAAGCTGTCAGTGTACTGTCTCCTTCAGGAAAAAGCAGGACTGTCACCTCTTGAAATGCAGCTGGCAGAGCACGAGGACACACTTTTTCCTATCATTCCCTGGCTGTCATGAACTGGGTGGATTGATAATTAGTCTGAGAGTCCACGTTATCAGACATCCAGCCTGAAAACGAGATTCATGTACATAATGTTCAATATTCTTTTCTTGTATACTAACTTAATGACATATTTTGAGAAGAAAATCAAATTTCCTCTTTCTATTATTAATTCTCTTTGGAAAACTGTTTTTACCCTTGCAAAGTGCAATTCTGTAAAATTATAAGTTATAATAATGCAGGTCTTCAAAGTATATGGATAAGAAGGGAAGGTTTCAGGACATAGAGAACCTCTAATAGGGTTCTGATTTTTTTTTTTTGAGGGTAAGGAGAAAAAAAAAAATGAAGATCATTATACATGTGTCTGGCCTCATTACATGTGTCAGGGAATCCCATATCATATTAGCAAAGCAAAGGATTTACCCTACTGAGGAGCTGAATTTGAGGAATTTGACGTTTTTGGTTTTTTTTAGTCTCATATATCATATGTCAATCCCAAGATAAAGGTGTGCACTTGTCTTTCACTTTCTTAAGAAGGTGTATGATTGTGTATGATTTGAAACAGCATTCGTTTTCCAAATGAAGCAATTGTAGGAAGCTGAAAGCCCAATCTGTTTCATAGAGATGGTAAGAAGGTGCTAATACAGAAATATGCCAGTAACTGGTCCAAGCTTAATACTGATGGAGAGGTAGCCAAATAATACTTGATATAGGCAGTGCAATAGAAAACACCGCTTTCTTTTGCTATTACTTGCAACTTCTGAAGTATTTTCTGTCAAGTGATGCCCATTATCTGAGATGACTTCTACTTCCATCACTTTTATGCTGCAAACTGCACAGCAAGCAAAGGTCAAAGTTAATTAGCTGGGGATGGGGGCTGTTTGTTTTCATCCTCACTAGAGCTTTTATTTTTATTTTTTTGTAATTATGAATACAGAGTAGATAATGTTACAGACTGAATTCCTAATGAAAAAAATAATACTGAATGGAAAGCAAATCTAAGGTGTTTCTTACACTGTCAAAGTTTTTATTCATTACTAGCCTGAAAGTTTAAACTGACTTCACAAGGAGACAAAAGAAACCTAATTCTTAATTTAAAGCCCTGAAAAGCTATGCTAAAACAATCATGAATTCAGTCTTTACAAGTAAGAATGGTGCTGGACAAATGTATAGAAAGCTAGAGAGGAAGTGGACTAATGATATGACTAATGATAGTCATATCGTTAGTCTTGACACTGTCCTTCAAATGGACACAAACTGTTGGGAACTAATAAGGGTCCTGACAGCGCGTGCGCACGCCCTCTCTCTTTATATATATATGTGTGTGTGTATATATATACATATGTGTGTGTATATATATACATATGTGTGTGTATATATATATTTCTTATATATAGTGTGTGTATATATATATAGTGTGTATGTGTGTGTGTGTATATATATATATATATATATATATATATAGTGTGTGTGTATATAGTATCCCTTCTCTGTAGTCTCTATCTGGAGGTCTTGTATGTTATTCTTTCTTCATCTTTTGCTTCTGTGTGGTTATTTTACAGTAACTGGGAGTCCAAGGGATCAACTTTCCAAATGTCATTATCAGTGTTCAGTTACCTAGCAAGCACAAATGTGAACTTCTTGAAACTAATGAGAACAGAGGATTTACAGCAAGAAAATCTGGGCACGTTAATAAATGTTTCCCAGTTCTATTCCTTATTATACTTATAATGGGTATTGTGTGCTTTTCATGATACAGTAAAAAGAATTGGTATCTGCAAACAAATTTTGCTAGTAATATGCATCTGTTACTAGGATGATGGGGTGCAATGTAAGCATACAGCTGGATGGATTTTAAGCTCTTTGAGGAAAATCTATGTATGTGTACTGCTGGGTGAAGCCTGGAAATTTCAGAAATATAAAAATAATCATATATTTTACCTAATTTCACACAAGCAAAACCCAAATGGAGCTAACTTTTTAAACACTAATAACTTCTTGGCTTCATCTAAAGTGGATCAAAGTGCTTAATATTTTAGTGATATCTGGTTTTAGTTGTAGCATTAAAAAAAAAAAAAAAAGAAGTTACTTTTTATACTTAGGTAAGTAAACAAAGTAGACACACCAAACAAACATTTCCCTGTTTCCTGTCAGTATGTTAAATGTTTCATAAGATTTTTCTTCTCCAAATAAGAATGTGTGCACATTTGTTTTTAAACGTTGGAGCTGCCTTTGACTGATTTTAAAATAATGTCTTAATATCATCATGAGCACATTTTTCACCTAGTCCTTATTAAAGCTACACATTTCACAGCCACCAATTACAGGTTGGTGCTACATCCTTGACAGTTGTTTGAGAATAGTTTGAAGTGGTGAAGGTGAAATGTAATTAACAGTAGATATCACATAAATGCTTCGATCAATTTAAATTAGTCACTAGTAGGCCATGTATCACAGATTGAAGTGTGGTATTTAACAAGAAGAAAATCCTTATTAATAATGTTGTCCTTTGCATATTAATCCATTGTTAGACTTTGTCTTAAATGCGTGCATTGTTTGACTTGATTACAGTAGTGTGTCTGAAAACATGAAATTTATTCTTTCCCTTCTTAGTATCTTTATCTGCAATGCTTAAAGTAGGCATTAGAATCATAAGGAAGGTTTCCCGAAAGACAAATTTCAGTTTCTTCAGAATGGTGTGTGGGCATAAATAAACATTCCTCTGTGTGTGTGCGTGTGTAGTATACATAGTGTAGGTCCTAACTGTCAGGTTTTGATGTACTTTTTTCAACATGGGGCTTGAGATAGCAAGTGGAAGTGGTGTTTTAAATCTTTTGACAACAGTCACTTCTACTTACTGTTTCCTTAACATGTGGCTTCAGAAGGACAGACTGTTTTCCACAGAAGTTCTGCCTTTTAATGACATCAAATGAGTTAATATTTACTCCATTTGTTTCCCTGGTTGTACTTAATTGAGAGGCATTATTCACTACATGTGGGATAATAAACATGCTATCCATGTGTAAAAATATTTAGTTTATCATCTTTTGACCAAACAAGTAAAACATTAATGGTCAGATGACAATCAGGGAATAATAGCTGAGATTCTTATAATTTTAGCAAGTTGTGTGCTTATACTTGATTAATTTTCTTTTTTTTTTAAATTTTTTTTTATTTTTTCCCTCAGTAAAAAGATTAAAGCGTATCATGGACTTCTCATTTTTAGAACTTTTTTTTTTTTTTTCCCCTAGCTTGACAACCTATATGTATGTTTTCAGAAAAAGGGTGTGTGTCGCTTTTAGGATGTGCGTTTAGTGCCTCAGATACAATTTCACAGGTATCAGAACTAAATATAACTGAATATAGATTTGATTTTCTAAGACACAAACACCTGAAAATAAAAGGAGCTGGCTTAAATTAAATTGTCATTATTCTATTACTTAAGGAAATGTGTTGAGTTCTTCTACCTTAGAACCACAAATATGGAATAGAAGCACTCTGCTACTTGTCCACATTTATGGTATATTTCCACATTTTTGGTTTGAAAACAGCTGTTTCTTTTAAGATTTATACTAAATAAATAGAAAAAGTAAATATTTTCTTGAATGTGTTTACATTAGGCTATCTGACAAAGTAAATAGAATTAGCTTGATCAATCTGTATGATATTACAGGGAAGGAAAAACAAAAACTAACCAGTATATCACTACTAGCAATGTGTTAGGCTTTCCTGTTTTTGTTAAGTATTCCAGAACAATGTAATCAATCAAAAAGTTTCCCATTCCACATGGATAAATGTTACCTTTTTAAGCATTGCTAAACACTTTGACATATTTGAAAAATTGAGTCCTAGATCCTAAAGGTTATTTGTCACAGGAGAAAGAGAAAATATGCTCTGTGCATGCGAGAATGGCAAATAAAGACTGTAAAGATGATAAATCTTGAGTTGGATACATAAACTACTCAGATTCATAGTTCCCAACTTCATCACACACAGCTGTAGTTTAGTTTGGCCTTTACTGACATATAACTATATACAACAGGGAAGTAGTGGTCAGTAGATCATGTCTCAGGATGAAGCCTGATGAAGGAAACAGAGAAGAGAACAAATAATACATACTACACTTTGAATGCAAGCCATGCTGAATCCTTATAATTATTTGTTGCTTTGATATTGGGGGATTTTTTGATTTGTATTTTTTCTGATTGTTTTCAAAGGCACACTAAGTAAGATAAAGCACGCCTTGAAACCGTCCTCTCCCACAACATATAAATGATGACAGGCCTGTAAAATTTGTAGCACTAAAAATGTCTGAAGAACAGTCAAAGCCACTTGTTGATACGATTAAAGCAATTTAATTCAAAAGGAACTTTCTAAAGGCTTCTTCTGACAGCTGGTGATTTCATACACCTTAGACAATAATATTACTTTATCCTAAATATTTTTGTGAGATTACTGTGAATTCTTATAATCCATTGAAGCTCTTCTAGGTTTTATAAAAACAAACTTTCTGTAATTCTGTGTTCTGTGCTGTATGTTGTGGTCATAGAATGTGGCATTGGTATGAAAGAAATAACTCAAATTTTGTCCTAACATGGAGGGGATTTTTTGTTGATGTTGTGTCTGTGGATTTAATAATCCAACAAGAATTAATAATTTTACAGTGAGAGGTAGACAAAGCGATGCTTGTAAATCTCCATAGCATTTGATTATAAACTGATTTCAGCATTTGGCTTGCTTTAATTTTTTTTTCAGTAATACATAATTATTTCTTCGTCAGTAACCCTGCTGATGTTACTATATTAGATAATGTCTTTATAATATTTTTCAAGGAAACTAGTTTGTATTAGAGGACATATCAGAGAAACCTTCAATTGTAATTTTCAACAACTGAACACTCTAATGACAGATTAATAAAGGTGAAGGGAAGGGGCCCTGACAGCTGGTTGTCACTGTGTACATTGCGAAGCAAAAAGCTCTTGCTGCTGCACTGAATTCTGCATAAAACCGTGACAGGAATTTTATTTCCCTGTTTCTGTAAGGAAAAGTTGCTTCTGCAAGAGGCCAGGTGAGAAAGGTGTTTGGATGTTCGTGAACCACGTCTACCAGTCCATCCGGTTGGTAGCGTGAGGACTGTGGGCTGAGGACTGGAGATGCTCAGGTTTTGTGCTTTGAGCTCCCACCTAATGTGAAGTGTTGGCCAGCCTCCTGCAGCATTGATCCTTGGTGAAACATTAGACACTTCAGATAAAGAAGCCTTGTCCACTGAGTCATCTGCTTAGATTTAAGGAGTGCTTCACTTGCTGCCCACTGAAATTGCAGCCTTTGCATAATAGCACATACTTTTCAGAGGATGAAGTATTCAATTATTTTGGTCTTTTTACTTAAATATGGAAGTACAGTAGTACAAAAATAAATTGAATGAGAAAAACTCTGGACTGGTGTGAAAATTTAAGGTTCTGAAAATTTCAGATAAATTGCAAATAATGAGGAATGCTTGTACACTAACCTACTGGTAAATAATAGCTTTTACTTTTGGTTCCCTGGTATGTAAATGTCTTAAATTCCCTTGTTTTGTGTTAGTGCTATATAAGCATACTGTTATGCAAAATCTAGAGGATAAAATGTATTTTGTGACAAGGTAATAAACGTACTGTGCATCCATAAAATAGTTTAATTTATGGGCAAAAATCCATTAATGTTCAAATACCATTCAGAAAATGCCAGTGTTTTTTTTTTTTTTTAATAACTTCAGCTACTTATGTGCTCTGTATGAATATTTTCATTGTTAAACCAACTCATAATCTTTGTGCAGGCCCTAAATAGTCTGAGAAATAATTACAGCTCGATATAGCTCTTGAAAGTGAAGAGTTGTGTAACGGGAAAAATTGTGACTATCAACTCTGAAGCCTATAGCTTTAACTCCGGACAAAGAAAGCAATCTACTGAATTGAGTGGTCTCAGTTACTTTTATATGAAAGCATATATTGCCTATAAAGTGAATTTTAAAATGTCAGTTTTTATCTTGTGTCATATTTTCAGCACATAGATAGATCATGGTAGTACAGAGCACTCTCAACAACAGACCTGAACACGTGCCCAGGTCTTCAAATGATGCAGGGCAGATGTTATCTTTGCTAATCTCAACTCTTCCATAGATGAGTTTTTAATTAAATTATCTTCCCTGATGATCTATCCTATATATTTGTTGCCTATAAAACTAAAATGCATGTGTGGTAGGGTAGGCGAAACAAACATTTTTATTAGGAAACCACATTAGAAATTAGTGTGTTAACTGGATATCCTAGTTTAATTGACAGTGTTTTAATTTACAGCTGTTGAAATTAATCTGCCATATTTGAATTTGAATCTGCATTTAAATATACTTTTTCATGAAATTGAGGTAGCAATTGCCAAAGAGAAATAGATTTTGCTAAAGTAAATGCAGAGGAATTTTTTTTTTCCTTTTTTAAGTCTGGGAAAGACAGAATTCAATCCTAGCTTATCTATATAAGTTTATATAAGCCACATAGCATAAGAAGCTATTAATATTCAAGAGTTATTAGTACAAATCCCTTTATAAAGCAGCCTTACTTTAGCTTTTGAGTGACATTGCAACATTGTTTTTCAATGAGACTGTCCTTGAGAGTCAACAAACTCTATTTCACTAAGAGGGTTAATTAAGGTCAAGTTTATAATGGGGTAGAAAGAGGCACAGACTGAAGCAGCCGTATATCAGATTGAGATTTCAAGGTCTCTGCAATGCATTAATAACTGTGAGGCTGGCTAATGTGGGTGGCATAACATGTTCTATAGCAAAAAATGCTGGTAGCAAACCTGGAAAATCAAATACAGTTCCTTGCACTGAAGCTTTTTTTTTTTCCTTTTCTTGACAGTGTTTTTCATTGGAAAACTCCTGCTAGTCAACCTTATTTCTAAGGGATTGTACCAGGTCAGAGAGCAGAGTTGTTGATCAGCAAGTTTCCCTGGGTTTGTCCAGGTTATGGGAAAAGCATCAACTCTGTGTTGCCCGACCTCCAGTAGTCTGGTTCTCCAGATCTAGCAGATCTGGTTCTCTCAAGGATGTGGTGCTCTCTGTAATATCTATGCATGGATTTTTTTCCCCTCTTTTTTTTCGAACATAAATTTCAAGGGGTTACCCCCCCACACACACACTTCCATGATGGTGAGGTGCCATATGGGCAATACACTATCTGCAAACAAGAGTGAGTGAGGCTGGAGCCACTGGCAAGGGGCAGCGGCGTCATTCTCAAGGTCAAGCAGCAGCCTCTGCAGCTCCTGCTGATGGACAAACAAACTGTGTGCCAGTGTGTGTGTCTGGTCCAGCCCCGGGGAAGCAGCTTTTCTTGGAACGCATGAACCAAGCCAGCCTAGGTGCTGTGAGACAGCAGGGAGAGGAGAGGCTATGTTAATATGGAGGGGGAGAGAGGCAGAGGAAGGGAGGGTGTGACTTTTCCATGTGTGTATATTTTTTCTGTTATAGGTAAATATAGGGCAGTATTTTATTTTCCTCCAGATGAAGTCCTCACTGGTGCTAGGGGAGTTGTTAATCACTTCCATGGTGCCTTTTGTAAAATTATTTGTGCTGTCAGTTTTCAACAAAAGTCATCCAAATCTATTGCTTCAGTTTCTGGAAATTTATATTGTGGTATTTTTGTAGTTTTTATGGATCTGAGGTAATAAGGACAAAACTTTTAACTCTTATTAAGTAAATAAGTGTCATTAAAAAAAAAATACAGCTGTCAGGGAGAAATGGAAGGGCACAATTGTTGAATGGCTTACAAAGCAGTGAGAGCTTTCTCCTTCAATCAAATAGTTATTCCAAGAAGTTCAGACTATGACAGCAGCTCTAAAACAAGATGTTTAATTTCTCTTTAGGGGCACATTTGTCACAGGCTAACATTCTTTTGCATAGTGTAAAGAAAGCTTTTCAGATTGTTTTCAGCTGTCCTCGTTACAACTCTCAATTTCACAGAGGTTGTCCTGCCTGATTCCTGCTTAGGGGTGGTGGTGTGTGCCTTGCTGGTTTAGATCTCTAAACAGAACAAGCTTCTTCAAGCGTTATCGCGTTGGATTTAAGACTTTTATTGTTCATTTAAGTTGATCATGTACATTACACAGCTCAATATTATGAAATATTTTTGCAGCAGAAGAGTAAAGTCAGTGAAGGAAATAACTCTTACCAGCTTTACTATGGGAACTACCAGTATCGTTAGACTTGGCTTGTCTTTTCTATCCAAACTCCCGGTCTTCACTCAGTTTTGAAAATTCAAATATTCAGAGGAATGCGTATGTCTAATCAACATCAAGATCTACAGGGTATTTCTCTGTCATTAAAGAAGTGAATTGTCAGGAGACCACACCAAATTTCTTAGTTTCTATTCCAAGCTGTAGAGAAACAATGATAGACTCAGACCTGTTTTCTCCTGTCTTGCAGTATGAAATCAGTGTCTCTTGCCAATCCTCAGCTGCTGCTCATTTTACTTGCCAAGCCTTTGCCCACAGTCCTAGTTTATTTCTTTGGTATTCTCTTGAGGATTATTCCTTCTCTGCATGGCTAGCATCCTCATAAATCCAGACCCTGCCCTTCCTGTGCATGAAACCTTCTGAACCTGTCTCACTCCTGGCCTTGTCTGTCTGTAACTCTGGCTGCTTCCATCTTCCTCCTGTGTGCCGGGCAGGCAGCGATCAGGGAAGGAGGGGAGCTCTGTTTTCAGCTACAGTGCTTTGTGCCACAGTGGCATCTAGCTGCAGCAGTTACAGATAAAATATCACACGGTTCGTGCAGTCCTGGTTTGGAGCAGGTCAGTGCAGATGGGCTCTTTAGAGAATTCATCTGCCAAAATGCTGAGCATATGCAAAGTATGATCAAAGTCTTAGGATGGCTTTAAAATTTTCTTTTTCCTGCATCCAGCAAAGAGGAGCCCTTGTAGCAATAGACAATGCCAAGAGAGTTTCAAGTCCCTGCTGAAAAACTGGAGATGCTAAAGCTTTTGAAGGAATTGGCTACAAAATTGTTTATGTATTTAAAACAGTTTCACACACTAAATTAGTTTTGAAACTAGTTTAAGATTTTTTATTATTATTTTTATTTTATTTTACTTTATTTTATTTTTGCTAAAGCCTTGTAAAATAGCAGCACAAGGTAAATTCTCCCAAGTAAATATTGGGGACTGAGTGGTATGAGCTCTCCCTGGAGAAATGAGAAAAAAAGTTTTAGCAACTAAAACCACAGGAGAACTGTTGAAGATTTCTTCGACTGACTTTCTGTTGGTATCATCTGGCATATATTTTGTCCACATTTATTTTATATTGTGAGTTTACAGATAGGTCTTTAACCAAAATATGTTTTACACATATTCATATTTTAGCAACAAAGCAAGTTAAGACAACAAACACAAATTTTCCTTAGGTTCAAACCTGCAAGGTTTTCTTAGCACACCCAACTTCTGCGAATTGCTGCTGACTCTGAAGAAATGATGAGCTTGTGCTTGGTTTTTCCTATTGGAGAAAATTCCACTCAGGTCATTTTGGCTTCTCAGCTGCATGAAGATACTGCAGGTATGTAACTGTTTACAATGCTAGTTTTCACCAAACCTTGAGTGCTGTGCAAGCTTGCTATTTGTTTGTAAGTCAATCTTACTTTTGTAATGTTTTCCTTGTAATTGTGCAAGTAGATCAAAACCTGAAATCACTCCGTGTGCAAAGAGGTGTGAGATGCAAGTGAGAGGTGCAAGTGAAAACATTTTTACACTTAAAATAATCTCCAGGTGTTTTTTATTTTATGCCACCTAGATAAAACTGGAAACTTGAATAGACTATGAAGGAAAGAAGGTGTTTTTATAATACCCATACATACTCTTCTGGTATTTATCATAGAGGATGCTGCAACACTGAGCAGGGCATTACTGTGCCACAAAAGCCAGCCACAGGGAACTGCTATACACAGCACTCAGGTAGCAGGACTTTTTTGTTGAAATTCATTCTTCAGTGTATTTCTGGGGCATTTAGTAGTTTCTAATGGTAATAACCTTATCCAATTAAAAAAAAAAAAAGTTCATTTTTAATGTGGTGACAATTTTGTGACATTTGTTTGACAAGCTCCTTTGATCATGAGCTGAAGCTAGGACCGAGGAAACCTCAAAACACATTTTTGTATTGCGCTGCATCCACAGAGACAGGAGGACTGACATTGTACCTTGTCAGAACAATCCTTTGGTATTCTTAACACACGGTATTTATGTATTTCTAATTTGTTTTGCAAGAGTTTAGTTTTAATTAAAATTTTAACATTATAAAATCAATGATTTAGTTTCAGGGCTCTGGAGCAGAATGAGAATTTTTTAATAAGCTTTTGCATTTCTTATAGGAGGAAATTAAAGTTACAGTTTACCATACACAGTGCTTTCTTCCTTTCCTTCTTTCTTTTAATTGAAATTACTAAATTAAGACTACATACAGCTCAGACTGGGTTAAGAGAGAAAGCTGTGTCTCTTCACAGTACTAGCCTGTGACCAACTGAATGAAGGAAGTCTATAAGAAGCAGAGAAGGAAAGGGTGATGCGGTATATATCTTTGCACCCCAGTATTTCTCCCTCATTTTATTTCTTCTTATGGATAAAAATGTGGTATGGTGGTTAAATTAGCTTTCCCCCACCTGTTTGGAGGTAAGTCAATGGCTCACTCTTAATGCCAGTAGTATCAGCAGGACCTGACAAAGTAATGGAAACTAGCCCAATCTAAGTTCTCTGTTGCTTTTCTCAGCTACACTGAATAAGCTGTCTTTCTTTGCTCTTCTCATTCCCACCTTTACAACAAATGTTTTACACAACTGCTGCCCAACTGTATTTTCACAAATAATACTATTTGTGGTTTATTATTTACCCAAGTTTTAAAAAGGTGAAGTTAAAAGCACTATGTCTTGCAGTAGGAAGTGTCACCTGATGAAGGAATTAAAACTTAATTCATTTTTATATACAAGCCATTTAGAGAGATGGCTGTGGACTTCATGGAGCATCTGGCAATAATTTGTCTAATGGAAACTAAGATATGATTTTATATACAGTGTGTGTTAGGAAAGTGCAGAGTATTTTACAAATTATATGGAAATAGCCTTATCCAAAAATGGTAAAAGGCAGAATTTCCATATAGTTTCCATTACATTTAAAGGATGGAAGTGCTTTTTGTTTGTTTTTTCCTTTCCTTTTTTTTTTTTTTTATTTTTATTAAATATTAAATCTGATAGGCAGAAATGTCTTCTAGAAGTCATTTTTCAGGGCTGTCTGTCTCCTAACTCTCATTCGTATATACAGAGAGGTGTTTATTGGGAAGCTAGGAGCATGACTGGAGGAGGATGTTGGGCTGAGAGGGAAAAATAGAAAGTCATTTTGTGTTCTATCAAAAATACATATTGGCTCCCATTTGAAAGTTATACTTACAGAAGCTAACAAAAAAGGACAGAACCCTTTCAACTTCATAGTTACTTATGCCTTTAGAGATATGGATGAAGAGAAATTATTGAAGTAGGGAACAGGATGCAGACCCTTTAATGGTATTAGAACAAGCTTGCATAAGCAAAGTCAGTATAAACAAGCTGTGGAATTGATACCCCAAAATTATGTATCATTTTTTTGTTACCCGTATATATGTTAGATGGGTAATATCTACATAAAGATCTTAATGGGGGCAGGCTGAGGTATAAATGAATAGAGCTATGTTAGATCTGAAAAATTTGTTTTTAAATCATTAGTATAAAAATTTGTGGGGTGATCTTATCCATTTCAAAATAGTGGAATTAGAGGAGATCCTTTCAAAAGCAGAAGTGGAAGGAAAATTAACAATGATTTCATGATAAAGAAGCAGACTCATATGTAGGAGGGAAGCAAATTGCTACAAAAATGTCAGTCTTTTAAAATAAAACCTTGATTTCTATATTTGGCTACAACAGAACAAATCATATGAGAAGACCATAAAGCAGGAGGCTGACCATACACAGAGTGATGTTTGGCAGAATTATATCCTTAAACATACCAGAGGAATTGGCGTTTTGTAGAAGTTCCTAGGGAAACATTATCTGAACAATTTTGCTGTTTTAATGCAGTTAAGAAATCTGCTGTTTCTCAACATTCTTTATATTCAGATTGCCACCCCTTTGCATCTCTCTCATGGCTGAGTACCACCAAATTATCAGGGTTAAGATAAGAAAGGGTGCTGCTATTTCACAGCATTTTTAGCTTGGGACTTCTTTCTGTTTGTCTTGTAGAAAGCCTAGTACTGAATGTCAAAGATTTGATAAATGCTCTAGGTTTAAAATAATAATAATAAATAAAATGTGAGTAGGGGAAAAAAAGTGCTGTGTGGATTTGTTTAATCTGTGTATCAATAAGTTGCCCTCAGGGCTTTAGAAATTTCAGGATAAATACAATGGGGCCTGTGCTCCTGAGGTTATTGAGTCATTCTACTGTATCACATAAGTGCAAGCACATCTTGATAAACTCATAGATAAATTTATTTTCAATTTCACCATTAGTAAGCATTTTTCAAGACATTAGTCAGGGCTCAAAAGTGTGCATGTTTTTAAAAGCAAAGCTTTTAAATAGTATTCAAAAAAAATTATAAATAGTATTCAAGAGATGAAAAATTTGGAAGATCTTTCAGCATATTAAAATCTGGAGATAAGTTGCTGTTAATCTATACCTTAAACAAGGAAGCAATGTATCCAGGTGATTGCTTCACTCTGACCACATCAGTATCAGCATCAGAAAAAAAAAGTCTCTTGAGATCTAATAAGCAAAATAAGTAAAACTCTCTATTAAAAGTAATAAATATACATTATTAAATATGTTTATTATCAATATAATTTGTATAAATATATATCTATATAATTAATATAATCTATATTACATTAATATATAATATAATATACATTTAATAATAGATATTATATATTTAATAATAAAGAATAGTAATGAGATGACCAGCTCTGAATTTTTCTTCTCACTGACTTAGTGTAAGTGTGAGCCCATGTACCAACAAAATCAACAAGACAAAAGGCAGCTGTTAGTGGAGATTTCAGATATTGTATATGTGCTTCAAAGCCAAATGTTTTCTTTTTCAGTGGCCAAAGCCCTTCTGTGCAATCATTAACCAGTGTAATTTGTAAAATCCTTTAAAGAAAAAAGGAAAAAAAAAAAGGGGGAAACCAAATGAAACTTATTGAAACTAAGAGCAAAATTTTCATTAACTTCAGTGAAAGATTTCTTTGATGTTTTTTTTTCCTGGAATAACAAAGGTTCCTCTAAGTAGATCACCATTATTATTGCTGTCAGCAAATACTGATCCTTTACCAGCAAGCATGATGGCCAAACCCCTTGTACGGTCGTCTGGCATGGGATCCAGGTTCTGAGATGCTTGGTTCTCAGACACTAATTCAGCAAAGCCCTGAGACATGGGTTTAGCTGTCAGTACACTGGGAGTCCCCGTGGTCCTCTTAAGTGCTTTCCTGGACTGGGGCCAACATGCTTAATTCTTGAGCAGCCGGGCTGTGTACAGTAAACATAAAATTGTATACTATGTTTTCATTGTTGGTGCTGCCAAGTTTCACCTCTTGTTTGTTGACTTGTGATTCTGATGATGTTGTCAGTCTGCATGCAGAAAGTAATAAAAATCTTTAACTTTAGGATGGCATTGCCTCTACAGCTCACAAAACAACGCAACCAGAACAGTCTGTATATCATCTGCCTGTCTTAATTGTTTTTCAGAGGTATAGCATACATGTCTCTGCCCACTGGAGAGCTAAGCATAGTGAATCTTTTTCAAAGAACTTTTTAAACTAATGAAACTGAGAGGTAAAAATGTTTCCAGCTCTCTCAAGAGAAGAGTATTGCAGAAAAAAGTTGCTTCATGCTGCTGTTCATTTCTGATTCCTGGCCAAAAAAAAAGTCATTCAGTATTGCATAGATGAGTGACTTAAAAACATGTGTCAGATGATTTTTTTATTATTATTATTTATTTTTTTAAGGCAGACAACACACACTACTTGTGGGAATGAGCTAGGAAAAAGTTCATTAAGCTAACAAAAGCAGGACAGGTATGTAGCAGAACTGTCAGGAAGAGCATTGATCCAACCCAGTGTCTTGTTAATGAAGTACTGTATTTATGTGGATAGTACTAAAGATTTTTAAAGTGCTAAACCATTTGTGTCATTTTCTGTGATAAGCATAATGTTTTGCAAGTTATAGCTGTTTTTGTTCAGCGTGCCCTTTGGATACCATGATTCAGGTACAAAAGGAAGGCCTCTGAAAGAAAATTCAGTCTGATCACAAAATGATGATTTTTTTTGATAGTTTTGAAAGTTAGCGGAGAATCTGACCAGTGAGGCAATATGAATATTATCTCAATTTTTTTTTAATCTCAATTTGTTTGCAGCAGCGTCTGAGGGGTAGAACTGAGCCTAGCACCTCTGACTGGAGTTCTTCTGGCTCTGAGTCAACATGGTGATGAAATTTCACATTTTCAAAGAGCCTGGCCTTTTTGTTAGCTTTTTTGTTGTTGTTCTTGTA